ATGATGATCATGATAACAACAATAATAATATAGCAATGGCAATAATGATAATAATAATACTAATTATAATGATGACTTTTATGATAATGATAAAATAATAATAACAATAATAGTACCATTATTATTACTGATAACAATGATAGTAATGATATTTGATAATAATGATAATGATAATAATGATGATGATAACAATAATAATTATAATGATGATTAATGATACTGATAGTAACGATGATAATAACAATGATTACTAAAACATTCATGATGAAAAGGAATAAGATAAATTTAATGATAACACGATCATAATGATAACAGTGATAATAACAAAGACAAATAAAACAACAACAAATGATATTAAGGATAGATATGATAAGAATAATGATAATGATAATTAGAATAGGATTGATGATAATGATAACAATAATGACAATAGCCAAATCAACAACAACAATAATAATGATGAGAATAATAATGATAATAATGATAATAATGATAAAGATTATGATAATGATAATAATGATAATAATGAAAATTATAATGATAGTAATAGTAATAATAATAATAATAATAATAATAATAATAATAATATAGATATAATAATAACAAAAATAATAATAATAATAATGATAATAATAACAACAATACTGATACAATAATAATGATAATAGTAATGATAACAATAATAGTAATAATGATACTAATCATAATAATGATAATGAGAATAATAATGATATAATATATAATAATAATAATAATAATAGTAATAATGGTAATAAAGACAATTACAAGGAAAATAACGCTATTTTTTACGATAATAGCTATAATAATAAAAAGAATAAAAAAAGGCTAAAAATAATAATAGTAATCATAACAATCATAATGATAAAGATGGTAATAATAGTGATAACTGTAATGAAAAAATATGATAATAATGATATAATGAAATAATAATAATAATAATGATAATAATAATAATAATAATAATAATAATAATGATAATAATAATAATAATAATAATAATAATAATAATGGGATAATAATAATAATAATAATAATAATGATAATAATAATAATAATAATAATAATAATAATAAATAAGTAATAATAATAAATATAGTAAATGTAATAATAGTAATAATAATAGATAATAACAATAATAATGATAATAATGGTAATGATAATAATAATAATAATAATGATAATGATAATAATGAATAAATAATAATAATAATAATAATAATAATAATAATAATAATAAATAATAATAATAATAAATAATATAATGATAATAATAATAATGATAATGACAATAATAATGATAATAATAATAATAATAATAATAATAATAATAATAATAATAATAATAATAATAATAATAATAATAATAATAATAATAACAATGATAATAATAATAACAATAACTCTTTGCATTTAAAATATAAGTATCTTGTAATGTCTTATATGGTAACGTCTTATTGGAAATATAATACAATGACCTTGAACTAATATATTACTGCTTGGCAACGCCCGGACAATCAGCTGTTGTGGAAAACGAAGAACTAAACTAAACTAAACATTTCTGTTCTATTGTTTAATTGTCAGCAATCATTAACAATTTAATTTAATTGTTCTATTGTTTAATTGTCAGCAATCATTAATAATTTCATTTAATTGTTCTATTGTTTAATTGTTTTATTCACGAACGAGCTTGTGAATCGATTGGCCTTAGATAACTCTGGGTCCCTCGCTTAAGTAAGGGACTATCACCCTTATGGCCAGGTCTATAAGGGAGAAGTAGGCGGGCCCTGATTTTAAGCGTTCTTTGGCTAAGACAATTTAAAACCATGATCAATGTTTTGAATGCCAAACTCGAATGATGATGATGAAGGATGAGAATGATTGGTGTGTGAATGATGATGAGATGATGATGATGATAATGATGATAATGATAATGATAATAATTGATCCTTCCCTTATATTAGAAGGATAAGCCTATGATCTTTCTTTAACAGATATTGAAACAGATATTCATATTTACGCTGAAATTCCTTCGTTGTCTAATCTAATCTAATAAAATAATAATTTAATCTAATCTAATCAAATAATAGTCTAATCTAATCTAATAAAAGAATTAAAAAAAAGAGACGATGGCTATACTATCAAAAGACAAGACATAACATATTTGCATATATATTTTCTAGATTAAAATTAGTATTCAGCAGCTAATCCTTGAGCTTCATATCGCTATGAATAAGAAATGATATGTTTTTACTGTACTGTGCATACGTGTGGAAGTATTATTCACTGAGAGAGAGAGAGAGAGAGAGAGAGAGAGAGAGAGAGAGAGAGAGAGAGAGAGAGAGAGAGAGAGAGAGAAGAGAGAGAGAGAGAGAGAGAGAGAGAGAGAGAGAGAGAGAGAGAGAGAGAGAGAGGCAGAACAGAGAGAGAGAGACAGAGGCAGACAGACAGACAGAGAGAGAGAGAGAGAGACAGGCAGACAGAGAGAGAGAGAGAGAGAGAGAGAGAGAGAGAGAGGAGAGAAGAGAGAGAGAGAGAGAGGACAGAGAGAGAGAGAGAGAGAGAGAGAGAGAGAGAGAGAGAGAAGAGAGAGAGAAGAGAGAGAGAGAGAGAGAGAGAGAGAAGAGAAGAGAGAGAGTAGAGAGGAGAGAGAGAGAAGAGGAAGAGAGAGAGAAGAGAGAGAGGCACAGCAAACAGAAACAGACGAGAGATGAGAGAGAGAGAGGGAACGAGAAGAGGAGAGAGAGAGAGAGAGAAGAGAGAGAGGAGAAGGAGAGAAGAGAGAGAGAGAGAGAGAGAGAGAGAGACGAGAGAGACGCAGAGAGAGAGAGAGAGAGAGAGAGAGAGGAGAGGAGAGGAGAGAGAGAAAGGGAGAATGGTAGAGGAGAGTGATAAGAAGAGAGAGAAGAGAGAGAGGTACGAGGCAGAGCAAACAGACAGACTGAGGAGAGAGGTAGAGAGAGACGCAAAGATGAGGGGAGAGAGAGAGAGAGGAGAGAGAAGAGAGATCGAGAAGGATGAGAGAGAGAGATGAAGGAGAACGAAGGGCCGATGAGCAGGGGTAAGAGGAGGAGGAGAGAGACAGGGGCAGACAGAGAGAGAGAAGAGGAGAGAAGAGAGAGAGGAGGAAGAGAGAGGAGAGAGAGAGAGAGAGAGAGAGCAGAGAAGAGAGGGGAGAGTACGGAGAGGAAGAGAGGTGGAGACAAGGCAGAGAGAGAGAGAGAGGAGAGGGAGGGGCGGAGGAGAAGGGAGAGAGGGAGAGCAAAGACAGGGAGAGCAGGATTTATCGGAGGCCTTAAGGGGGAGTGAAGCAGGAAAGCCGAGGATCGGCGCAGAGAAGGGGTGGGGTAGGGAAGGTAGGTAGGGGGAAGCAACGAAACGCTAGGTAGTCGGTGCGGTAGAGAGGCAGCGACGCCGGGACGGGTCACTGGGCCCACTGGCTGTCGGGCTGTCTGGGGACGGCGGCGCAGAGTCTTCGCCCGCTCGCTCCCACGCTCTCCCTTCCCGCTCTCGTCTTTCCTACTCCTATTTGTCCTTCAGCGTGGGCACTCCTCTCTCCCTAGATTTCTGCAGGCTTCTTTATTGCACTGGATGATCTAGGCTGCCAGCCGGATCAAAATCTCTCATTAGATACTTTAATTGCTTATTTCTTTTTATTCTCGAGAGAGAGTTCAAGTGACATATCGCTCCTGATTCCAGCCTGGGGAGCTCGCACAGCCCTTGAGGCAGCCTAGCTAGAGAAAGACAAAGAAATATATATATTATTGTATGTTATTAACCATGTTGTAATGTGTATATATATATATTGCTCTTCACTAGTATCCTCATATATACTATATTCATATCCTCTTATATCATTATATAAGTCAAACATTTATATCCTTACATCTACTTAAACATATCATTGATTATATAAACCTTTTCCACAGTTTATCATTTATCATTCACCACCAGCCTTCCTACTCTCACATACCTGATGGTCCTGTAGCAACTCTTGGTGGCTCTTTCAATTCCGCACTTTTCTCCCTTA